TCATTAAGTGAAAGACAAGCTTCTGAAGCTCTGTCCTTAAGGGGTTAAGAAGAAAAATAATAAACTCATCAGACTCCAGCAGGATTATCACAAACATCTGGCAGAGAAAGAGAAATGGCAACAGAAATCTGGTATTGTTAACATTTTGGATTATAAACTATCTGACTCAAAAGTATCAGTTCTCTCCAAAGGATTATCATTTTGCCCTAGCACAAAACTTGATGACATTGGGCTCTAACGTGGAAGAATTTTTCAGAGGGATGTGACTTAAGGAATACTTCCATGACAAAGAGAGCACTGAAACCACAATGGATTACAATAACAGGAAAAAGAACACCAATTTCACTCCAGCACAAGGAAGAAATGCCAAATTGAACAGTTACATTGAAAGTTTCCGTCTAAGAACAGTATACTTGACAACCAAGCAAAATTCAAAAGAAAATGTTTCATAATCTCTCAGTACAGGAATTAACGGCTATAAATTACTTGAAAAAATAATCGTGCTATCACAATAAAACCAGCAGACAAGGGAGGAGCAGTAGTGATAATGAACACCCAGGACTACATACAAGAGGGGGGCAGGTATTTGTCAGATGATAAATACTATAGAAAACTAAATGACCCCACCAAGGAATATACATTACAACTTAGGGAGATCATTAAATGATTCCCTGAGAATTTGCATCTAGAACTGCAATCACTCATACCAACTAGTCCCTGCACGGGCACTTTCTATATGCTTCCCAAAATTCACAAAGCATGTAATCCTGGCACTAAGATGGCATATGCTAATCTGTTTATGGCACATCTTGCATAGCGATTCCTAGAATTACAGCCCAACAAACCATACAAATATTATCGCTATATCGATGATAATTTGGACTGAAAGAGAAGAAACACTGGTACAGTTCCATGACTCTTTTAACACATTCCATCTATCAGCCAAATTAAAAATTGAATATTCTACTAGATCTGTGGATAAAAGGGATAGTCAATGCATCTAGGGCTCTTTTGCTTCCAGAAAAACAGAACACATAAACTTCTAGGGCAGTGTAATCTCTGCCTACAGCAAATAATGTAAATAAATAAATAAAAGGGAATACACTAGAAGGTATCACACTCACATTTAATAAAGCATATATATGAAACTGTCTTAGGTATATACACTTGAGTGTGATGTGCAAGATGTCCCAATGTAATATATTGATAGCAGCTTTTTCATTCAGGTTTGCTGGGTGCCATAAACAAGTCAACAGTAATTACACAAGACTTTTTAATGCTGTCTGGATCTCCCTCAGTTGCTGGATTCCTAGTATTGCCAGATCCCCCTTTTAAAATGCAGAAATTGGCACCATTGATACCTTCTAGTGCATTCCCTTTTATTTATTTATTTACATTGTTTGCTGTATTGCCCTATGTGATTATATGTTCTTTTTTCAGTGGCTGTCCAAGAACATTTAAGGGGTATATGCATATTATCATAATATCACCATATCATATCTTATTTTATTGTGGTACACCATTACAAAAACATTTTTAGTGTGCTGTTCAATTTTTTATTGTGTGTTAAGATTTTATTCGTGAAACTGGTGTGATTGATTTCACATTGGTAAGAAGCTGCACATTACAATATTGTATGATGCAGTTGCTCTTTATATCTAGAGCCAATGGTTATTACACTATTTTGTACTGTTCTGTCTTTTGTTTCCTGAATAATTTTTTTGTAAGGTTCCTGTCCTTGTAGTTTTCTTTTATAAAAATATAAATTTCAATAGAAACTGGCATGTTAATACAATCCAGTTTGTCATACCTTCCTGCCTTTCAATCAGTCAGCTGAGATAATTTTCTTGTTCCAATGAGGAAGAAGCTGCACAATCTTGTAGCTTGCCATTTATACACTTCCCAATGAGCTGTAAAAATACAGACATATAGACTGTGTTATTGGGCATTCATGAGCATTCACAATTTGTTCACTGTTATGGGTGTCATACCCCAACACGCAGGAAAGAGCCCACAAAAGGTGGATCCAAAAGATGTATTACCGAGCCTTAGAATGGCTTGACTTAACGTAATATATAACAAGAAACAGGGTCAAGATATATAAAGAACAGGAATAACAGGAATACTCAGAGTCAAGACAAAGCCTTGTCAGGATACCAGAAACTATGAATCAAATATGAAGCCGATGTCAGGATACCAGAAATCACGAGTCAAATACGAAGCCGAGGTCAGGATACCAGAAATTACGAGTCAAATACAAAGCTTAGGTCAGGATACCAGAAAACACAAGTCAAATACGAAGTCGAGGGCAAGCTCAAGTAATCTCTAGGAGCACTAAATTAAGATTTAGACAGGTTAGTGATCAATAAATATGATGAAAAGAAGATGGGCAAGAGAGAAGCAGGAGGACGTGTTGGAGCAACATGAAAAGTCAAGCTGGATATTTGCAACACATGCTTTTAAAAATATTATAAATAATATGTTTAATAGTTAGTCTAAAATAAAGAAAACAAACCATCAAGGTTAAAATGTCGAGGACAAAATTTTTGTTAGTTCAATGGAAAATCACTAAACAACATTTATTTATTATATTCATGGTCATGTTATTTTATTAATTTTGTCAGTTTTCAAACCTGGATCCAAGGGCCCAGCTTAAAAAAAAAAACATGTTTGCAATCAATGTGAACTGAAAAGTGATGAATGAAAGAGAACTGTGAAAGACCCAAAGCAGATCTCAAAGTATTGAACTCTCTGAACAGCTCAGATGTGTGTCAAAGTAAAAAGCTTTTCTAAACAAGCTAAAAAAACAAAATATGTCATATGGAAGTGAGCACCATGTCTTACATTAAACTATAAATACATTTTAAGTGTTTTGGATATGTTATGTTATTCTCAGCTCATTTTATCTAGTCACGATTTGTTTATATAAATAGTTATTTGCCTGAGGTATTTTGGCATGCTATGTTTCCTCAAAATAAGCACTTACTATTAAATATGCACATATATAAAGTTCAAGAGTTGTAATTTTTAACATCATGTTGTGGTCTGTTAACAACTGACTTGTGGATGTTAGACCCAAGTAGCTGAGTAAAAACAGTAATCGCTTTTGCCTAAACAATACAATATGATTTTTCTGGCAAGTGTGATGTTGTCATAGGTGGTGGAATGGAGACCGGGACCCCTGAGTGCCTGATGATGATGATGGGAGTCTTCAGCGTGGAAATGGACCATCAGGGCCTAGTGCAGGGTAACCACACACCCCCTGGTGTTGAGCTCCAGCATTTGTGTGGCCACATACCAAGGCCCTGATGCAGCTTGTGCGGATCCAAGTACTAGGAGCTTAATGATATGCAGACCTCCCAGGAACTGGATAGGGAGGCTCTGCAGCAGATATGTATCCAGTACAGAAACGAGGCAAGTCTAGGACAGGCACCTAACAAGAAAACAAGACAAGACTAGAAGAACCCAGAACCGGATCGGGCAGAAAGCAGAGCCCACAACATGTACACAAGACATGAGGGAAACATGAACAGAGCAGGACAGGACTGTACATGACTGGGAATACAAGACAAACAAAAAAAAGACAAGATATACAAGGCAAAACAAGATGAGACATAACTAAGTACTATATATCTAAAACATTGTCGATTTAGACATACATAAATGGCCAAGATGTATGCAGCCCATCACTGCGCCAAAGTACTCCAATTAACGGTGGGTCCTTGACTGCCTAGATATGCATTTCTGAATAAACAATAATAAAACACACATAGCACTTACCTACAAGAAAGGGGCAGAGGACCTGGAGCAGCTGCCTGCAGGAACCAACTGAAACAAAAAGGATTAATGGAAAAGGAACGAGTGCGGCAACATAAAACAAACATATAAAGGAATCCAGGAGACTGGGAATTCCAGGAATGGAATAAAGGAATGAACCCAGAAAACCCAGTATAAAGAAAACCAGACATGGAATAGAAAACCATAAAAACCAAGTAACAAAACAAGAAATGTAAAAAGAGTGCTGGATACCAGAAGCCAAGGCCAGACATCTCCGCAGAACAGGATGTGACATATGTCTTTGGTTAAAGGAACACTCTAAAACATCATAACCTGTAAAAGGAACACTCTAAAACATCATAGCCATAAAGCATGTAATGGCTGTGGTGTCCTTTCAGAGTAGCTAGACAAATGGTTTAAAAGCCAAGTAAGCACCCTCCACTACTGCCAGAAGCTCTGGCACTGAGCAAAACCCATCTGTGCAGTGCCACACTCATTGGTTGAGAGTGTTCAGATAATCACTCAGCCAATGAGCTAACTCTGCAGAGCACGGCTGAGCCAGGTGAAGCTAATAAATGGTCCTTCTTTGAGTTTCTGGCACCAGGGAGAGTGCAATGGGAACCCAATGGGACCCAGGTAATTTGTCAAATTGCCACTGCAAGGTTTGACTACTTACTCTCGGAGAGCTCCAGGGCACTTCTGGTAATTCTTTTCATTATTATTATTGATATAGCACCAACAAACTCTGCAGCACTCTGCAGTTGGTGGACTAACAAACATGCAATTGTAACCAGACAAGTTGGAACAGAGGGGTTGAGGGCCCTGCTCAATGAGCTTACATGCTAGAGGGAGTGGGGTAAAGTGACACAAAAGGATAGTATTAGAGAAGTAATGGCAGTTGCAGGAGAGGAATCAGTTGGGAACTAATAAAACTATTATAGGCTAGGTTATTATAGGTTAGGTTTAAGGGGGTGTGGTCTGGATACTGACTAGTATGGCTGCCTGAAGCTTGAGCTCCGATCCACCAAGTGATTAAAGCATACCTCAAGTATACTCTCGGTCTCATCGATAAACAGTCTCATTGTCTCACCGATATAGTAATACACTAATAACTCACCTCATGGGACACACGAGAAGGCAGGATCCACCTTAAACAACGACGGGTACACTTACTTGGTCACAAATGGGCCAGATGGATGGGTATGTACGAATCCTAACCTAAGCGTGAGTCGGATCCAGAGTCAGAAGCCCCAGCTCGAGCCTCCAACGAGACACCTGACTCTGACACGGTGTCCTCACCTCTATCTTTTTTACCACCGAAGCCAGACCCAACATCATTAGCAGACATAGGGGCAGAATTAAGGACCATAACAGCAATGATGGTCACTAACACTGATCTTCAGACCCTATCTACAAACTTACATGAGGCGATCCGTGCCGAGGTATCTGTTCTAAAGATCGAGGTAATGGCACAGGAAGCCAGGATCTGTACACTTGGAGGCACGCTTCAAAACATAGAAATTGATACACGAGCAGATACTACTGCAATCTCAAGACAAGGAGATATGCTACTCACAATTGTGCGACAAGTCAACGATTTCGATAATAGGACCCGCAGAGTAAACATCAGGGTTCGAGGAGTCCCTGAAGCCCAAGATGGAGAAGATGCCGAGGAGGTTCTCTCCTCCCTATTTCGACATATACTCAGGAATGAGGCTTCCAATAACTTTCAATTTGACCAGGCACACCGCGCTACTAGATTACGAATGCAAGATGGGCCGCCACGAGATCTTCTCTTTTACTTACTTCAACTTAAGGATCGTATTATGCTAAAAGCTTGTTCAAGGTCCCACTGGGCTTTTAGAGGTGCAGATGTAAAGAGATCTATTCCCTATCACCTTAGAAGCAAGGAAGGCTTTAAGGCTGATCACAATGGCCCTGTGGGAGTGGAATGTCTCTTATAAATGGGGATTTCCATTTACATTGTCTGTATGATATCATAATGAGTGGATTAGTCTTCGCCACCTGGAAGAGGTCCCACAATTCCTTCAACGCTTAGATCTACCGGCAATGGACATCCCAGATTGGATATTGAGACCCAATCAACCTAAGGACCTATTCACGAAGGCTACCCAGGCGTGAAGGAAGAGATTCCTTCACAGACTCCCCTCCATGTAGCCTTCAAGAATTAGTTCACCCATAATAACAACAATAACAGCATTAACAACGAAACAGCTGTCCATGAGTGGTTCACTGGTTTTGCATCTTTTCCTATATTGTGTTTCAAGATGTTGTATACAGCAAACACAGATTAAAATGAATCCATGTTTAAAATGGAATGAGGCAAAAATGTGATTCTTTGTTAAACTAATTTGCATATGCCCACCCAGAATCCTTTGCGGTTGTAACATCGCTGCAGTTATGGGATTTCTGTGGGAAAAGCAAGTCTTATGGCTTGACTGGTGTGCAGATTTTTGTTTAACAATATATATATATATATCTATATATATATATATATAACCAAATAAATTTTTGGGAATTGGGGCATTCTCTGCCCTCCATGAAATTGATGGCTATCGATCATGTTCCTTTACCGAGAAGGGGCGGTTTTTAATTTATCCTCACGATCACTTACAACGGATGAAGTTACACTTTTGAGTAAAGGATTATCTTTTGTTCCCACTTCTGGACCCAATGCCCAGGATTGGGAAGTTGAATTATATAAGTTTGGTCGCTCTTTGAGGCTAAAGGACTTTTTCAAATCAAAACCAGTGGAAATCTCCGATCAGAGCCACAAATTCAGGATGAAAAGTACGTTTGACCCGATGCCCAATCAGGCTTCTATTAAATCTTTTTTACGCTCAGTACAAAAAGAAACCACTGATCACTTGAAAGGCAAGCATCAATACCATTCAAATTGCACTAAGAAAGATCGAGCTATCATTAAGTCTTTGGCACTGGACAAAAATATCGTTATCAGACCTGCTGACAAGGGGGGTGGGATAGTGATTCAGAACTATTCGGATTACCGTTTGGAAATTTTATCACAATTGTCGGATCATACTACGTATGACAAATTGTCTAAAGATCCTACAGATGAAGTGATGCATTGCATCGACACTTGTCTAATAAGAGGACTACATTCCAACTATATATCCATGGAATTATACCAATATTTACGATCTTCGGCACCTAGGACTCCTGTAATATATACGCTACCAAAGATTCATAAAAATAAGGACAGACCCCCTGGCCGACCTATTGTATCAGCAGTTGGGGGCATCCTTGAACCTTTAGCCAAATGGTTGGATTTTTTGTTCAAGGAACCGATTGAACATCTATCAACGTGTATAAAAGACACTCCAAGTTTTGTCAAACTATTGTCGGAGATTGTATTACCTTCTGAATCGGTGGTTTTGGTGACATGTGATGTGTCAAGCTTATATACTGTGATACCCCACCAAGAAGGAATTGAAGCAATGAGATCGATATTATCCAGTTCCATATACTATTCAGAACCTCCAATTGAGTTCATATTAGAACTTTTGGAAATAGTACTCTCTCAAAATTACTTCAGGTTCGAGATGGATTGGTATAGACAAATTGCAGGTACATCAATGGGTGCAGCCATGGCACCTATGTATGCCAATGGCTATAAATATTGTTATGAAACCAAATACATTTTGGAACCCTATAAAGATTGTATCCTGCAATACGTTAGATACATCGATGACATTTTTATGTTGTTCAAGGGCTCTATAGCCGAAGCAGAGGACATGATCCGGTGCATTAATGTTTGCACTAAGAACATTAAGTTGACAGCGGCGATGGATTTAACATCAGTTGACTTCTTGGATATTAGCGTTTTGCGTGAAGGGTCAGATTTGGACTATACGCTATACTCCAAGCCCACGGACCGCAATACCATCCTGCAGGCTAACAGTTTCCATCCGCAGCCCCTGAAAGATTATCTGCCTTACTCACAGTTTTTGCGAGTTTTAAGGAACAACTCCTATTCAAATCGAGCACAGGAACAATTAGGCATGATGTGGGACAAATTTCGACAACGGGGATATACCAGTCATGTTCTAACTAAAGCACTTAATAGGTGTTTCACTATTGCCGAAACTTCCATTTCTAAAACATCATCTAATAGATTGATATTTCCTACCACTTTTTCTACAGCTTCCTCTAAATTTAAACAAATTATTGAGGAGAACTGGAGGGTGTTAAAAAATGATGTTACATTACCTCCAGTATTTCAGGATCCTCCTATGTTTTGTTACAAGAGGAACAAAAATTTGAGAGATTTACTGGTGAACACTGACCCCTTTCATTGTTATTCCAAGGAAACATCTCCACAAAATTTAGGATGTTATCGCTGCCTTGGATGTGTTACCTGTGGACATATGATCCCTGGCAAGACATTCTCCCATCCCCATACAGGTACCAGTTTTTGCATCCGACATCGATTAACCTGCACAAGTGATTTTGTAATCTATAAATTAACATGCCCCTGTGGATTAACATACATTGGAAAAACGGATTTACCCTTGAGAGAAAGAATTCGTAATCATAGATCTAGTATTAGAACTGCCTACAGGGACAATAAGTCAGAGTTACCGAGTTTTTCATGGAGGGCAGAGTTTTTGGAATTGGGGCATTCTCTGCCCTCCATGAAATTGATGGCTATCGATCATGTTCCTTTACCGAGAAGGGGCGGTGATCGAAAAAAGATGCTCCTTCAACGGGAATTATTTTGGATTAGAACGTTACAAACCATATATCCCAATGGACTTAATGAAAAATATTCTTTATCTGCCTTTTTATAATGTTTTCTGATTTATTCTGGAATAGGTGCAAGTGGCTCGCCCTGGGGGTCAGCCACTTTGACCGGTGTCCAGTCAGATGTTGGTTTCTTTTCCCTTTATTTTGGGATATATAAGTAGCGGTTGTTTTTGGATCTACATTACTTTTCATTTGAAGACCTAGAGTGTAGCGTTAGGGGTCACCCAATTGTAACCATTAACGATGCTCTATGTGGAGTTTTGGTTGTGTATGATTTGGTCTTTGTCTCATATTTTAGTAAGATTACTCCCTGGAAGCATAGGCACTCTATAATAGGGGCTTTTTGCTTGTTGTCTGCCTAGACTTAGAGCATATAGAGTGGCAATCTTTAAAGATGTGTTATTAGGAAGCATGAGAAAATCCACTATGCATTATGTCTCCTTAGGATGTTATGGAATTTCATGTATTTGTATAGCCTTCTTTTACATGGTGTTCATATCAGGAGTTGGGATAAGGTTTTGTATTTTCATATAAAGTTATATATAGTTCCAACTTAATGTTTTCTGTATCTGCTAGTTGGAATAAATAGTTATTGTACCAGTAGTTTATTCTAGGCTCTATTACTATTTCCTTTTTTCCCTCTTTTGTATATGCTCACTGTCAATTTTCCTTTCTGTTCTCATATGCTATGGGGATCTCCCTCACTACAGAGTTTGATTATGTACTGTCTGTAGTAAATATGATGGGCTTTATAACAATCTATGTTGTTTCTATGTTTGATTTCTATGTTTGATTTATTCTATGAACATTTTATTTGTGTCTGTTTTTATTATTATTATTATTATTGGTTGCTAGGAAGTTGCTTTCCCTAGCAACATGCTCCCAATGATGCTGCCGGCTGGTTGCTCACGTGATGACGTCATGACGCCGGCGTCGCGTGATGACGTCACTGACGTACGTCCGGATGCCGGCCGAACCCACGTGGACTCCAGACCGAGCTGACAGGGAGACACAATCAATTTGGTGGTGGGTAAGTTGATTACTAATATGTATTTTACTATATATTGAATATTTTAATTTTTATGTATTAATCCTGATGAAAGTCTGTGGTTAACAGACTGAAACGTTGATTTTTTTTTGTACAAGCTCATTAAAAGTTAAGTTTTATTTTTCTACAGTCCTGAGAGTGCTATCTCATTCCTCTTTATATATATATATATATATATATATATATATATTTATTTTGTGCAGAAATCATTAGTGATCACCAGCTGAGCAGCAGGCTATATTTTTCTATTTCTCATTTGGCTTCTGTTCTTTAACATTGATCTATTTCAATTTGATCATGTGAAGAAGTAATCTAATAAAACAAAACAATTTGACCCCAGTGCTCCTTCTCCGAGTCCTATGGATGTGCCAATAGAGTAGTTGCAGTAAATGTTTTTACAATGTTTTACTGCTTTTTCAAATTTGCAACAATTACTATTTCTTCTGAAATAGGAACCAAATCACTATTTATTAAAACTGTGCAGAGAGGATTAAAAAATTGTGACATAACATTATATGATATTTGAAAACAAAAGTAAAACACATTGGCATAAATATTTAAACCCTCAGTTATGTATAAAACATACTTTTTATGAACTACAATACCTCTTAAAACAGTACCTCCCAACATTTATTATCAAGTCAATCTTCATTTTGTGGGGTATGTTTGTATGTCAACCATGAGTTAAAGTCAAATCTTAGGCATGTGGAGTGTGACGAGGAAAATGTGTAAGCTCTATGGGTAGATATCTGCTTGGGGCAAACAAAGGGAAATCAATTATTGGTTGGCATATGTTATAAACCACCTAATGTAAATATGAATGAAGAAGAACAGCTGTTAGAGCAAATTGGGAAAGCTGCAAATCGGTGTAACACGTTAATTATTGGAGATTTTAATTACCCAGACATAAATTGGGATATAGAGACTAGTACTTTTATGAAGATAGAATTTTTTTTTGCCAAAATGCTTCAGTCTTACATCAAATGGTATGTATTCCATAACCCTCTACTACCTACTGCTCATCCCATATCTCTACAAAAATTTTCATACAGCAACCATCTCCAAAGTTTTGCAACTACTAACCCATCCTCCCATCTGTCCTACCCATCTGCCTTTTTTATAATAAGT